GGGTTGACCTCCAGCAGCCCCCCCCCCCTTGGGAAAGAAACCGCAGCCAGGAGCAAAACGCAGCTGTCCCTGTGATTCCGCCCCCCCTCCCGGACCCTAAACCTTTTCAGGGGGGAGGGGATGCAGAGCCCCCTGGTTTCCAGGGGAGGCTGATCCAAGACCCGCTGGCTGGATTTGCTGAGTCCCTGTAAGGAGCCTCTTTAATTTGTTTCCGGGTAGGCGGCGGGGATATTGTGCGGGTGCGGGCCGGCCCCCTTTTAAGAAAGGGGGGGGGGGGGGAGGAAAAGGAAGGGGCGCTTGGCCAATGTACAGATGACCCACAAGACAGAAAACACGAAGGATACCCGGCGGGTGGCCTCTGCCACCCTGAAATCCCCCCGAGACGAGCGCTAACCGGTTTTTTAAGGCAGGCCAGAGCAAGTTGCCTGTTTGTGACAAGCCGCAGGTGCTGGATGGCAGCCTAGGGGGATGCTGGATATGGGGGTGTGGCTTTAGGTTGGGCGGGGGGGTCTGTGGTGAAGGCCTCATCTGGAGAAACGTCTGGCCCCCAGGAGGCTGGAGACCCTCAGCCTGGGGGGAGGAGAAGGAGCTCTCGGCGGCATTGGATTCCAGGCCTTGCCTGCACCCAGAGCGGTTGTGCCTCCATGGGGGAGATTACGGATCCAATCCTGGGCTGATCCAGAGCCTCAGGAGGACTCACCCGGCCTGCGATCACAGCCGGCCACCCTCTGCCTCGGGGGGGCAGGGAGGGTGGCATCTTCCACTCCTCCCATCCGATTGGTTGCCTCTTGGAATGATGTCGTATATCCCAAAGGCAACTGGGATTTCTTGGTTTTTCCTTGAGGAGGTTTCCCTTCTTATCCGGGAAGCTTCTTCAGCTTCTTGCAGGAGAAGCCGAACGCCCTCAAGGAAGGAAGAACCAAGGAAGCCTTTGGAAAAGCCCCTTTGGAAGAACCGGGGCCTGGGTGGCTCGGGGGAAGTGAAGGGGCCCAAAGCAAGCGGGGGGGGGTGGCAAGTCCCCTCTGCCCTGCCTGAGGCCTGGCCCCTAAGGGGGCACTCGCCCTGCCCGGGCGGTTGGCAGGGGCGGAGGGTTCCCACCTGAGACAGCCATCGAGCAGGAGGAAGGAGCTCAGGGGGGGTGGAGCGGCTTTCCCTCTGTGCCCCCCCCCCCCCCCCCCCCCCGTGGAGGCAAGATTTCCATTCAGACGCGTTCAGATGCCCCGGTGTGGAAGGTGTGGGTGTGTGCGAGTGGCCCATCCCAGAAAGGTTCAAACCAGCACAGGTCCCTTCTACCCCCCCCCCGGCTTTATCAGGGAGGGGGAGGGGTCTAGAGAGCAAATGCCGGACACATACACCCCCCAGGCTGGCTTGCGCCAGCTCCCCCCACCCGCCTTCCAGCCACAGCTTCTGCCGGGATTGGGTCCCTGCTTCTGCTGCTGCAGGGTGGGTGGGCTTCTCCCAGGGACTCCAGGCCTTGAAAAGCCCCTCTGTGCTCCTGCCCCCAGAACAACTTCCCCGCCAGCAGCCGGGAGCGTCTGCAGGACCTCAAGTCCACCGTGGACCTGCTGACCAGCATCACCTTCTTCCGAATGAAGGTAGGACCATCCTTTCAGGTTCTTGGGGCTCCAGATCTTTGGGGTTCAGCCTCCCCAAACCAGGGTCCCTCGCGGGACTTTGGAAGCTGGGCAGGCGGGGGGGTTTCCTGGCCTGGGGGGAGGGGAGGGTCTTGCCCGAGGGAGGGAGGGAGGGAGGGAGGCCTGCTTGCCCCTCCCAGCTCCTCCCAGCCCAGTGGGCCTCGCCTGGAAGGGCAGCCCCCTGTTTCGGCCCAGCTCTCCACTGGGGTGGGTCTGTGTGTGCTCCAGCCCGCCCCCACCCCTTTTCAACCTCCCCCCCAGCAAGTCAGCTGCCTGAGCTGCGCCCCATGCGTGGCGGGGCCTCCCCTTCCTCTGAAGCAGCCTCGGTTTCCACCCTGGGGGCTTCCTGGGGGGCAGGAGGCGGCTCTTCCTTGGGCCCCCTCCTCCTCCTCGGTCCCTGGCCAGAGACGCCCCTCTGCCCAGGGCACCCCAACTCTGCCCCCCCCCCCCCGTGAAGGCAGGAAGAAATCCTCCCGGCTGCCCTCTCCTCCACGTCGTCCGCAGCGGCCAGTCCGGCCAGAAGCCCCTCTGTCCCCCGGCAGCCGGGCGGTGAGCTTGGCCCTGGCAGGCTGCCAAGCCCTGGCTTGCCAATTAGGGGGACTCTGGTGGGAGGGAGGGAGGGGGAGGGGCACCTCTGGAGGCAGGAGGAGAGCCAGAACAAGGCCGGCCGGCCGTCTTACGCGGAGGAGGAGGAGGAGGCCCTGCGTGAAAGGCGGAGGCGTGAAAGGCCTGTCCGTCTCTGCTCAATTGACGGGAAGCCTTGAAAGGATTTCTGACAAGCCAAACCGCTTGCTGGCTGTCCGGAAGGGACTCGCAGCCTCCTTTGCACCTGTCAAGCCGGCTTTGTAGCTCAGGCGGCTGGATGGATTTCACGCAACCCCCCCCCGCCCCCCTCCCGCTTCTCCTGGCTCTAGAGGCCCCCTCCTCCCCCAGAAGGGCTGGAAAGTTCTCCCCAGGGGGCTGGGTCCCAAGAGCCCGGCCAGGTCCTCCCACCCGCAGGAAGCAGCGGGCCCAGGACTTTCCCCTCCCCAAGAGGAAGCGGGGCGGGAACCCAGCCATGGGGGGTGGGGGGTACACTGGGGCCCCATCTTTGGAGGGGGAAGTACCCCTTGAGATGGCGCCCCACGCCCTGGTGCCTTCGGGGGGGGGGTTCATACCGGAAGACCTCCAGCTCCCAGGACTCCAGGATATTATAACCCATTTGGAGGGGGTCTCCTCCTCCGGGGGGAGGAGACTTAGGATGTGACAATGGGCCTTCAGGAGCTTAAGAGGCACGGAGCACAGACCCCTCCCCTCCCCCTGGGTGGCAGAGGAGTGGGGGTGGGTGGGAGGGGCCCCCTCCCTGCAGGACCCTCCTTGGGGCAGCCCCTGGCAGGAGCTCCAGGCCTGGGGGCCCCATCCAAGGGGGGCTCGGCAGGGACACCCGGAGAAGAGAGGCCAGGATGGAGACCCAACGCCCCCCCACCCTAAACGGGGCTCTCCTCCCCCCCTCCCCCCGTCCGTCTCCCCAGGTCCAGGAGCTGCAGAGCCCCCCTCGTGCCAGCCAGGTGGTGAAGGGCTGCGTCAGGGCCTGCCTCAACTCCACCTACGAGTACATCTTCAACAACTGCCACCAGTTGTACAGCCGGGAGTATCTGGTGGACCCGGTACGTAGCCTCTGTGTGTGTGTGTATGTGTGTGCGTTGGGGCAGGTGGGGGAGCCAGGCTGTCTTTGGGGATGTTAAAGCCCCCCCCCCAGTGAGCCCCTGAGATGGGGAAGGGTCCCATTCAGCCGAAGGAGACCTTCTGAGCCCTGGGGGCTCCTTGGCCAGGGACCCGGAGGGCAGGAGAAGCGCTGCACTCCCACTGCCAGCAGTTCGATCCCGACCAGCCTCTTCATTCAGCCTCCCGTCCTTCCGAGGTGGGTAAGGCGAGGACCGAGGGGGGGGGGGGGGGGGGGGGTAAGAGGCTGACTATGAAACCACTCAGAGGGGGCTGAAAAGTCCCAGGGCTCTTCGCATTCGTCCTGGCATCGGAAGGCGGATCCTCAAAGTGCAAAGGGAAAATCTAGCCAAGAGGGGATTTCTCCTGATTAAAGGGGGGGGGAGGAAAGGGGGGGCTGCTTCCTTCTGCAGCAGGGGTGGGGTGGGGAGGTGCCGCCTCCTCTGCCCAAACAGGGTGAGCAGAACCTCCCACAGCCCCCACTGGAGGAGGCGGGCAGGACGTGTCTGTGTGTGTGTGAGAGAGAGAGAGAGAGAGTCGGGGGGCGGGGGGGGCTTCTCCCAGGGCGGGGGGGAGGAGGGGGGGCCTTGCCTGAGGGCCCTGGCCTGTATCCCCCAGAACAAGGCGCAGGAGCTGCCCCCCGAGGAGCAGGGCCCCAGCGTCAAGAACCTGGACTTCTGGCCCAAACTCATCACGCTCATCGTCTCCATCGTGGAGGAGGACAAGGCCTCCTACGCCCCCGTCCTCAACCAGTAAGGGGCGCTCTCCTCAGCCGGAGCTCGGCTGCCCGTGGTCTCCTTCGCAGGGCCTGTCTGTCTGTCCGTCTGTGTCTGTCTGTCCGTCTGTGGCATGGTCTCTGTGTAGTTGAGGTGGCGGCCGCCCGCTAGCACCCGGCAGAGGGGTGAGAGCGGTTCCTCCTTGTCCGGTGCCCCTTCCCCGCCTGCATGCCAAGGCCGGAGGCCCCGGGGGCTGGGGGCCTCTGAGGAGAGCCCGGGGGGAGGGGCAGCTCTGGCGGGGAAGGCTTCGCGCTGCCTCCGTGGGGAGACCCCAGGGGACCCTGGGCAGGCGGGCAGCCCCTCCCTTCCAGGGACGTGGCCCCCCTCGCCCCCCCCCCAGCCGAGGGGCATCCCTTGAAGGCCTCCTCCCACTCCGGACGCAGGTTTCCCCAGGAACTGGCGGTGGGCAAGATCAGCGCGGAAGTCATGTGGAATCTCTTCACTCAGGACATGAAATACGCCATGGAAGGTGAGTCCGGTGGCGTCTCCTGGGCCTCTGGCGGCAAGGCCGTGGTTTGTGGGGGAGCTCCGTGGCCTTGGCCTGGTGCTGGTCCTGGAGATGCGGGGTTTACGGGTGTCTTGCGGCCGTTTAGGTAATGAGGAGGGGCATTTGGTCAAAGGGAACGTAGGAGTGACGTCCATACGGGGAGGCCTCGACTTACAACCGGTCTCTAGTGGCCATTCAGAGTTACAACCTTCCTGAAAAGAAGGATCTTGCCCATATCCCGAGTCCCTACAGCCACCGCCCCCGTTTTGTGGCCAAAGTTTGGGTACTCAGCAGCCCAGCGCCATTTACGACCATTTGCTGTCACCCACCGCCACATGGCCACCTTTCATGACAGATTTGCCACAAAAGAGGACACCCTCCCCGTTCTCAGCCACACCACGCTGTAAGGAGCCCTGGGTGGCTTCAGAGCCGTGGTGTTCGCTCTTACGGCCACGGCCTTCGCCCTGGCGACAGCAGGATCCACGGGCCCTGCAGGCTGAGAGCACAGCCTCCTCAGGACCAGAGGCAGCCGCCCACCTGCCTTCTGAGACAAGGGTCCCTCTTTGGAAGACAGCAGAGTCCACTTTTTGGACAGGGGGGACCGCTGGTTTGAAAGGGGCACCCAAGAGGCCATCTGTGTCAAAACTGAACAGCCCCGGCCCCCTTCAACAAAGTGGGGAGGGGATGCAACATCCTCTCTCTCCAGCCTACAACGCGGCTCCTTTCAGCCGTCCCAAGGAGACCCCACCCCCATGGGCACCACACAGACGAGCCCCTGGGGGGTCCTCAGAAAGACTGCAAGGAGGACCCGGCCCTTCCCTTCCCCAGGGCCCAGTCAGAGCGGAAGAAGCTTCTGGGGTGAGGAGCGAAGCGTCTCCAAAGGGAGGAAAACCAGAACGCCCAGTGGCCTCCCGGGAAAAACCCCTTGGGGACCACTTGCGGGGGGAGGGTCCCCTCCCTCCCTGTCAGTCGCTGCCCCCCCAGGAGGGGCCCCTTGGGGTTCTTCTAAGGAGATGGGTGCCCCCCCCAGGCAGGGGGTCCTCAGTCCCAGGTTGTTAATCACCTGACCCCGGGACACGGCAGCCGTCATAAACAGGAACCTACCAGTTGCCAAGCGTCCAGATTTGGGTCACGTGACCCC